TTTCTTGGAAAATCTTTGGAGACCAGCGGATAAGCCAGAAAATCTTCGGTTGGGGGATTAGTCTCGTCCTTTCTTCAGTTGCGAAGCTTAGTGCACCCACTGTTACAATGAGGTGCTAGCCCAAACGGGTCGTACCCCGAGGGCATGGTGCTCGGAGAAGGTTGAATGAAGATACCTCCTGACAATGTACCAAAAAAAAAAATAGCACTAGTATAATAAACGATTTTCCTAAGGTATCCACAGAATAAGTCTGACTCTTCTCTAGATCTACACATAATAGTTTTATAGCATGAGGCTGAACTGTTTTTTTTTTTTTTTTTAGTCATGAAAAAAATGGATTTTAAATAAAAGCGATTGAGTAGTTTATAATTAAATTTTAGTTTCTAAAGATTAGTATTTTCATTTCAAAATTAAATTTTAACTAAGCTCCCATAGCAACATGGAAAGATATGAAGCATAACAAAATAATTCATGTAACAGTTTTATAAAATTACTGAATATGTTGGGCCACAAGCTGACATGAGCACAAGAGTAGTAAAGCCCACAAGAAGCCCAGCTGCCTAAAGGATTATAGCTTCAAAATAAGTGTTTTAAAATTGGGATTGGTAATTGTTGAGGTACTGGATCACTGGGTTAGTGGTTCAACTAGGTTCAATCGAATTTTAAAATAATATATAATAAATATTAATAAATATATTACTCATATTAACAACTTGTGGTGATTTTGGCATTTCCTCAAACAAGTCATGTACAAAAAATTTGAATACTTTGGATGACTAATTTTAAATTAAGCAAATCATCAAATTCAGTATATCAATTGAAGATGGATAAATATTAATTTCTATTCCATGAAACAGTTACTTGTTCTTCATTATCTTCCCAGGATGGAGTAAAACATCATGGATTGATCATCCAAAAGTAAACGTGTCTGACGTGATTTGCATCCACATCTTAGGTGAGTCGGTCAGCATTGTTGCTCCAATGAACGCCACTTTCTTTGTCTACTATGTTACCGCTTAACGCGATGCCGATAAGACCCGAATAAAAACTATCTCATTGTTTTTCTTTTTCTGCTGCACTCTCCAAAAACATGTTTGCCGCTTTTGCTTCCCTGCGAGTCCTTTATCCACTTCTTCTCCTCCTCTCATTCTTCTCACTACTAGTTAGTGTCAAATTTGACCAGCGTCAAATTCTACTGAACCTGAAATCCTCACTTAAGAATTCAAATTCAAGAGTGTTTCACTCATGGAATGCAATTAATTTCATGGAATGAGACTTCATATGCAGCTGTGTCTCGAAGCTCCCTAACCAGATTCTGGTTTTGGTGGGTGGCTGTTAAAGGGGAAATACAGAAGGATAAAATAACAGAGAAAATGAAGAGGCCTTGCTTCGAGGGAAGGCTCCTCCAACAACTAGAAGTTGCTTCTGAAATTCTCAATACCATTCTCAAACAAATTACTTAGTCTTATAGACTGACAAACACCCTAACAGAAATTGGATACTACGCACTAGCCAACGCATGACACACACACCACTCTCAACAGAATCACGAGCACTCTCTTTCTACTAACTGTTTTATTGATAAACTTCTCTCAGCTACACGTAGTCCCTCATCCATTTTGGCTGAATCTTGCTCCTTTTGGGCCTCCTCATCTTTGGGCTTGGATAAGTGTCCAGAGCATCCTCTTCCAAGCTCTTGGGCTTCATTCACTGTTTCTCCTTGGGCTTCCTCCTCTTTATGCTGATCCAACACGTCAGATTGTTTATCAGTGGCTCACCAATTTCCCACACTCATTTTTTCTTTATTGAAGATTTAACACTGCCACCTTATCTGTTATTAGCTGATGGGTGTAAACGACCCGGCGGGGTTTTAAAATACTGTTCAAAACTCAACTGATTTTATTCCAGGAGCTTCTTTAATTTACTCTTATTTTTATTTCCTAAATATGCTGTAACGTGGGAATATGAGTTGTTACAAGTTAAATAGGTGTAAAGAAGTAGTAAGAAATATACAGAAAATTCTAAAATCCTTTCTTTGTCTCTCTAATCTCACTTTTATCTATATCCCTTTTCCAATCTCTTCCCCTATAGAATAACGTAATAATTAATATGATATCTATGTCAAAAATTTATATAGCCACAATGGTAGATACAGAGTTTTAATTTGAATTTCAATTTAAAAATTGATAAAAAAAAAAAAAAATAGTAACAACATCACCCTCAATCACGAGATATTAACAATGTAGCCAATGAACTAAAGTTTTTTTTATACAACAATGAAGAAAGTTTTATTTATGAACAGATTGAGTACATGCAACACTTAAATTTACTGTCATTATAATAAGATGTCTACTACAATGGCACAAACCATATTTATTATGATTTTCTTCCATATTTAAGTTCCTAATGATATTAAGAAATTGACCAAAGTTTAGAAGAACAAAAATGCCAAGGGCTTATAAATGTCGTTTATTTTGGTCTGCAAATAGGGTACCAATTTTCGGTACAAGTAGCATTAATATTCTAAAAATATTAGTAAGAGCACAATATTCATATTTTAGACACACAAAGCGACCAAATAGCATGTGGCTCAAGTGGTTAACAAGTGTAAAGAAAGGAGAGGCAATTGTTTTAATATCCTATACAGATTTAGTTTCACACTTGAAATGTGTAGGATAATAGGATCAACACCGTAAAGAATCAATTCAACCCAAAAGTTTAAGTTAGTGAATGAGGACTTTTTAATGGTTTATATTATATTCTAACAAAGAAAAATAGGATAACACACACATACACCAAGCAACAAGTGGTTTTTTACTAATAAAAAAAAAGGGGGGGTCCATTGGTCTGTTAACAGAAAAAGATCAGATGACAGAAGAAAAGAAGGAATAGTTCTGACATAATTGACTATTACATTTGCAGATACAAAAGCTTTATTTCTGTGTATGGTGAAGCATGTAGATAAGATAGACATTTCGTGTCCATAACTTCCTTATTCAACATTGATCAGGAACTGTTGTTAATCGATGTAGAATGCAAGTTTGACAATGTAATGCCAATCCTTTTAACTTAAGAAAACGAATGTGAGTCACAATATACAAAGTTACAAACCATGTTACCTAACATGAAAATAGTCCTTGAGAGGTGCTCAACAGGTTAGTGGTCCAAGATGTGGATATTTGCCAAAACTAGCACCGCATAACGCACAGTAAACATTTTATAATTTAGTCATTTTCCAATACTATATTTTATGGGAATTGATTTTCTCATTTTACATGAGAAAATTTTCTCATGTTACACACACAATACATGAGTGGGGTCCACAAAAAGATGATAAAACAAAAAAGTCAAGATAGGATCTACTCATGTATTGTGAGTGTAGCATAAGAAAATTTTCTCATGTAAAATGAGAAAACTATTTCCCATATTTTATATGGAGAAATGAACTTCCCACTGACCCTATCTTCTTCCCATTTTTTGCTCTTTGATTAAAGATGAATAGTTGTGTTTCCTTCAATATGGCCTCTTTAAGTCATCAAGTCTATCACTAAATCAATTTCTTTTTCTAATAGTACATTGTTTTATTCCTTCCTTGAATCAATTCAAACATTTTAGAGAATAATGTTTAAAAGTAAGAGAAAAAAGAATACTTCAGGGGACTTCATTGTGCATAATCTTGTCGAAGCCAATTCTCTTTTGTTCTTCATAAATAGCAATGAAAGTATCTTCTCTATAAAGCTATTACTAAATACTAAGAACTTCTGAAGGATTTATCAAAAGCTTTATACCTGGCCTTGATGGTAGCTGTTTCCTTTAGTTCTTTTATCTCCTAACCCGCAGCCCCAATTGTACCAAGCAGTTCTTTCAACCACAGGCAATTGATGTATGATACCGGGACCAAGGACAGCTATCATATTGTCCTGATATGCAGATGGCCATTGATCCCTTAACTTTTAGTTTGAACCCCATGAAGCCCTTAGTTGTAACATGGCAATGTCGCATTTGCTAGGCAGCAGAGGGGCCTGTAAACTGAAAGTATCTTTTTTTCCTCTCCATTTAGGTGTATTTTGGGACAGTTTTTTAGATGGGTAAGATTATTTGGCACCGGTAACAAATGAAAAATTTGACTATTTTGGGACAGTTTTTTAGATGGGTAAGATTATTTGGCACCGGTGTCAAATAAAAAATTTAACGCTTCATTTGAAGGCTAAAACAGATCAACAGTATCACGTACTTACAAATCAGAGTTGTTAGATCAAGGCAAGATCAACGACTCTCATATGAGGTTTCAAATTTTTTATTTGACACGGATATCAAAATATCCTATCCCTTTTTAAATAAGCATATGTTATCATTGATACTTCATTTAAATACTAAACATGTGTAAGGTTGTAAGGCCACGTTAAATATTCACTTGTTTCTAAAAATGTCGTAACACATCAATTGCTCAACAGAATGTGAATGATATTGTAACCAATATCTACTTAAGAATTTCACATATTTTGGAATTCAAGTTAAGAATGCGTAGTTTACAAACTGTAGCCTCTTTGTCCAATTGAGCTGAGAGAATGCAATCTCTCTGCCATTGCACTTTCACTCATACATTGGCCTAATGTTTGTTGGTTGGGCCTGTCCTTGTATGTTGTCTTCAGCTCTCGCAAGACATTTTGAACTCAAAAACCAGCTCCTTCAAGACAGGCCATGAACGTGTCTGTCGCATAATCAGTCCTGTTCTTAATTATTAACACTACACCATATTTAAGTTGGACCATAGTCTGTTCATTACTTCCCATCAAATCATGTGCTCTCTGTTCATCTTTTAAGCAAGTTGTTTTGTGACTTTGCTACTTTGCTCAGCCAAATAACACTAAAAGTATGGGTAAAGGCATATAAAATATAGTGCCAAAAGTACATTGAAGACCATTTAAACGTAAAATTAGTTGACATTGAGTTACAAGTTCAGAAGCCCCTAGTACTTACAACTTTTTAAAGGAAATTAGATTCACAAGGGAACAAAGTAATTTCACATATTCAGGTCAATCCCAGTACTTTACAAAAGAAATTTCTCTTTTTTTTTTAAACAAAAAAAAGGTAAAAGGAAAACAGAATACTGATACTCCACAATAGCTTCTTCCACCTCCAAAATTCTATCTAATTTCATCTTCCGTGCACATGAAGTAAACTCAGCTACCTTGAGATGTTATACTCTTCAGGATAAGCAAGCTGTTGTTCCATCTGCCAGTTCAACTTGGAAGCAACACTTTCGTGACATGGAACATAGTCCTGTGAATTAAACATAAAAATGTATCATTGGGTGCTTAATTCTGCAGAAGAAAAAGTGATTACACATACAATTACTTTTGATGATAGAAAAGTGCTTCCTGTTAAGCATTATATAAATATTGATTTATCTCATCCTATGAAAATTACCTCCAATTTCTTCACTAACTCTTTTGCTGTTGGTGCTGATACAATTATGTGGCGGGCATTAGGACTAATAAATCCCTCTTCCACAGCTTTGTCAATAAAAGACAGCAACGAATTAAAGTATCCATCAACATTTACTAATCCCACCTGCAAGTTGTGGAATGTCAAATCTAGCAAGGCTAATAGCTCAACTAAACTTCACAAGGATCCCAGCAAAATGGTACAAGTCATTTACCGGTTTATCATGAATCCCAAGTTGAGCCCAAGTTATGACTTCAAGAAGCTCCTCTAGAGTCCCATAACCGCCTGCATTTAACTTGCATAAGTTTTTCAAGAATTCAAAGCAAAAATATAAGCTAGGCTACCCATGATTGAGATGATATTGATAAAAGGAACACAAAGATAAATTGATTTTTCTTTTCACTTATGTTTAAAAACAAGTTTCACTCTTCATTTCCACCGTGGTGTCTTTTTCTCCACAAGTTTAGGATTAACTAATCTATGTTGGATGCAAATGGTATTTACTATTTACTACTCTCAGCTTTGTGGAAGCGTTCAAATGCCATTATGGATATCTTAACATGTAGAGAGAGGTCATTAAGGGAATCTATTGATTATGTCTTCCCACCCTCCCTCTTATTTATTCTCTGAGCTTGGGAATCCAATTTCATAGGAGGGATCCCAAGATAAAGTGATTGACAACTTTGTCTTTGCTTGCCTACTCTATCTGTGACTAATTTTCAGCACTCAATTACTCTCAGAATGATAACTGCTAGAAAGAAAAGTCTTTGGAAAGGGTAAAGCATTATTCCATGTCAGCTACAGGTGCTAGTTGGAAACGTTAACTTGTGAAAGTTCTTCTTTTGCCTTATTTCCCTTCTATATCAAAGGCAGAAATTTTTTTGTACAAACACGTCATGCTTCTATGGAAAGTAGAAGCAAAAATGGCATTCAACCAGAACCACAGTTGCTCAGAGCCGCAGAAGTTCAAAATTTTAGCCAAACATGTCAAGGGCTCAGTCGAGGCCAGGATCAGCTAGTTTTGAAGGGTCCCTTTCTAATCATCATAGCATTGGGATATATTAATTATGAAAGAAAGTCACAAATTGATTTTGCAGCAGTGTCAGATTTAATTCAATAAAACTCTTACACACGTTGATTTTATACTCAAAATTGAAATCCCTGTCCACTAGTGTAGCTTCAAAGTGGAGGACTAGTCCACATTATCTGTTACATATGACTTCCAAATCATACACAAGTACATAATAATAATTAATACCTTGTCAACAACATTCATGATTAGGCGTGGTAAACTTTTACTAATGTTTGGCCAAAAAGGTTTAACAAAGAAACAAAAACAGATTTAGTTTAATTATTCTCAAAAGAATTAAACACTGAGATATGGTCAATGCTAGATGACAAAACTAGAAAGTTATAAGCACCTTGATGTTCCTACTTTTTCTAATGCAACCAAGCATTCTAAGTTCAGGCTAACCTGGTAAGGCAATAAAGGCATCTGAATGCTTAGCCATCTCTGCCTTCCTTTGGTGCATATCTGCTACAGCCTTAACTTCTCCCACTGTTTCACCAGTTAGCTGCAAAAGGTACCAAAGGCCAGTGGAGGGAACAGAAAATAAGAAGAAGAAAAAGATCAAAATGTAAAGAGAGAAAAAAGACATCCATAATTTGTAACCGAAGAGATTGAAACTAAAAAAAACAAAAATAGAAACAAAAAAAAGAAAAGAAAAATTCTAGCCCAGTAAAAGCCAATGAAGTAAAACAAAAGAAACTGGAGCTGGTCAGCTGAACGTATAAAGATAAAATCATTTTCATAAAGAAAAACAGATAGAAATCATAGTACCCAAATATTGGGCCAAAGAAACAAACTTTAACAAAAAGAAACTGCGAAACACCAGGCTTTGAAGTTCACAAGGCTTAACTGAAAATGAACAAGATACAGATCAAGGAAGGTATAACAAGTGGGAATACATGAATACAATATATAATCAAACGGGAAAAGGGGAAAAGAAAAGAAAAGGAAAAGAAAAAAAAAAATCAAAGTTCGACCCTTGATGAAGAGAAACAAATAAAATAAAAAAGAAACAACTTGCAATACTTTTATTACAGAGAAGAAAAAGACTATAGGCTTTTCTCCTGGCTGAAGCAGACATACCTCTCGAGGCATGAGCGTCTTGGGAATAACTCTGCAAGAGACAATAACATGACAAATATAGTGTCAATGGAGAAAGAGACCAACAAAAGCACAATTGATTCAGATTATTTGATCCTCCTTTAACCCAACATCTTTGGGGGGGAAAAAGAGAGAAAAGAGAAAGAGAAATTAAAAAAATAGAAACAATGAGGAAAAGAGAGAAAGAGTCATACCCAATAACATGCCGACCGCCATCATGAACAGCTTGTGAGACCAAACCCATCAGACCAATGCTTCCACCTCCATAGACCAAATCAATGTTCCTCGAGACCTTCAGATACCATTAACAATAACATAAACAGCCTAGAAAGACTTCAAGTAACAATCAAATCAGAGTGGCTATCATAATATGATGTCAAAACCAAAAAACAAAATAAAATAAAATGGATTAATGATAACCCATTTGGAGAACAATAGCATGAGTACATTTTTAACTGTTTGAAATCTTAACACTGAAAGTAAAAGGAAAAAAGCACTGAAAATTCAGCAAGGGGCACTTGTATGTTCAGGGCCACTGCGCTTCACAGGTAATGGCAAACAAAATTCAAGAAACAAAAAATGGATACTTTTTTTAAGTTCAGAGAGGTTAAAGGCCATAGATATCGATACACATGCGAGAAAAACTGGACACAGTTTAGAGTGACCCTTTTCCAGAATGGTTTTGTGAAAAAAAAAAACTGCATATTTTGCATTAAATAGATGCTAGATACGAACTCAACCAAGAGAAAAGGCTTAGTCTCAAGGGAAATAATGTGAGTTTCGATATGCAGAACAAGTTACAAACATGTTATGAACACAGCAAACTTACCCAACTGAAACTCACAATGGAAGTAGAATATTCAAGACGTCATATTATAAAGTTTGACCCTTTCCCCTTGATCCATTCATCCAACTCATGTATAAAACAAGAAAAGCATGGCAGGAAAAAAAAAATTCACAAAAACCCTTTTAGAATTTTCAGAGAAAAACAACAGAAAAATAAAAACAAAAGGGTTCTCTTTATTAAACAAAACAGTGCCAAAACAAGGGAAAGAAAAGCATCAACATAGTATATAGTATATACCAATTCATTGCCAAGCTCAATGGCAGCATCTTGATAGCTACTCTTTTTGCCAGGGCTACTACCACAAAACACACAAACCCTCTTGAACTTTGACACCCTTATCTCACTATTATGTGTCTCCATTTGTTTTGTTGTAACGTGTGCAAGAAAGCAAGCTAGCTAGCTAGTTAGTTTATATTCACACAAGAGCACACTGTCTCACTCTGCTATTTTCCTAAACTCACCTTCCCATGTCTCCATTGTTGAAGAAATGATCCATGTGTCATCAACTACACTCTTTTACTCGTCACACTCACTCGTTGCTTGCTTCACCACTACTCCTACAACCTCTCTTGACGCCTTTATATATACAACATTGCAACAACATCAACGCTATCGCCCCCATTGTTCATGGCACGTGAGTGTCTTAGTAGCACGCGCGGACTACTGTTGTTGCGGTCCCTACCTACACTCCTTGTGTTTTGTTCTCCCTAATCAATATACTCACTCCTTTCTTCTCATAACATTACATGTAATATAATCATCACCTTGTTTCTAAACATCAAGAAAAATAACTCATTTGGTTCTCTCTTAATTAGAGAAGATGATTTTATTTTTTTTATTTTTATTTAAAAAAAAAGTTAATTCACTAAATGCCTATTTGTAATGTCTTATTTTTAACTTCTTCTCCTTACAAGCAAAACTTAATCAAATATAATTTTATAAAAGCTATTATTGTGAAAAGAACTTTTTTTTTTATAATGTATAAAAAATATAAAAGTTAAAAGCTATCGCGAGGAGTTTTTTTTAATATATGTAAGTTTTTTTGGAGTCGTCATATTTTGCATATCAACTCTAATTACTTTTTTATGGTCAGCAGACTCCTTTGGTTATCTTCATAAGTTTCGAATTTTTGAGCTTGCTATTATCCTTTGGTCAATATATTTATTTTATAGTTGTACCCTTACATTAAAACACGTATTCATAGATTTTATCCTTATCTTAATTATTCATCATAATAACAAATTATTTTATCGTCCCTCCTTTAAAACTATCAGAAAATTTTATATAATTATCAAATAGCTTTTAGCTTTGTTTTTTAAGAGAAGTGTTATACTTATAATCTCTTACAACATATTTTTTCACTGTTGATTTCCGTCAATTCAATGGTTATGATTTATCAGGTCACATTTATTATTAATTATTAATTTTCAATAAATTATAACCATTGGATTGACCGAAATCAACGGCGAAAAAATAAATTGTAAAAGATTGTAAAATTTTTAGATTATAAGTATAACGCTCCTCATTTTTTTTTTTAACTTCTTTTTTTCAACTTTAGCTTGAAAGTGGCTTTTAGATTAAAATATAAATATGTATCAAACAAGCTCTAATCTCTCTTAAAATATATATTACACACTCAGAACTCTTTTTTATATAAAATAAATAAATAAATTTATCTATACATCTCATATCTAAAATTTTTCTTTATTGCAGAAGTATTACATATCTTTCTTATTTTATATACAAATCCTGAATAAGGGGTGATGAATAAGGCTTTGAATAAAACATTCTCCAATCAAATTAAAGTTATTGAAGTTTAAAAAGTAGAATAAAATAAAATATTTATGCTCACGTAGTTCAATTTAATTTTTTTAAAACAATACGATTATTAAGGAATACAAATCACCTATCCGTTGATAATACTAATAGAGATATAGAATTCCTCAGAGGTGGTCTAATAAATAATGAGTTGCTAAACTCGACTCGAGCATCGATTCGATTGGAGTACTGGGTCACTGATCGAATCGGTTGGGTTACTGGTTAGACCGATTGACCCGGATATATATATATATATATATATATATATATATATATATATATATATATATATATATATATATGAATGTATAAATTCAATTATATTCTCCATAACTAAAATGAATTAAATAAGGTTCACTAAATAAGCTAAGAAACATGAAGCATAAATAAATAAAAAAGCATGCTATTACTATGTCAATTTAAATTGCAACTCAGAATTCTCATAAACATACCTTTCAATGACATTGAACTCATATTTTTCAAATTCAACTACATTAAAATGACATATGTCACGTTCTCTAATTTATTATTTCACAAATTGCTTCAGTATTGGAAACTAAGAGGTCATTGTAGAAGAGTATACTAGCAAATAAAATTACAAAAAGTTTTTAAAATGAGTTTTACATTTTTTTTTATAAGATGAAACAATTTTTTTTTTTTAAATGCATGACCCGATCGCGTCACCGGATTTGGCCGGTTTTGTCTGGATTTTGACCGGGTCGATGCATGACCAGTCCAATGCTTGATCCAGACCGGTTCGTCGGGTTCTCGGTCGACCCGACCGGGTCGGACTGGGTTTTACAACAGTGATGAGTTGTTAAGTATTTTCTTTAATTATTAATTTTACAATATTCTTAAAAATTTATCAAATGTAAGTAGCAACTAATTAAATGCCCCACAAAATAAAAAAATAGAAAACAGTTGATAACTCAGTCTCAGTACCAATACTGAAAAAATTGGAATTGTGCCAATAATTCCACCATCTCATAGTTTTGATAATTGGTGCTCTGAGTCTTGAGATTATTAATGTGAAAGAGGAGAATTGAAGCTTATCCAAGAAAATAAGTTGTCACAGCCAGTCACTAGTCATAATAGTGCCAATTATGTGTGCAAGTGCAACACCGCCATTTTGGTTCCCCTCCCTTCCTTCCCACTAGTTCTCTTTTGTATTGGTCCTTTTCCCAAAGTATTGAACAAATCATAGAAAAAAGGTTTCTATCTAGAAGAGGGATCAGTGGCGAACTCAGGAGAATTTTTCTATGTTCGCATAATTAGCTCCCAAATTTTTTTTTGTAAATTTTTTTTAAATTAATGCTTGAACTCGCTCATAATCTAGTTGCTTCCATAACAAATGATGAAGAAATTATGAGAATGGGAAATCATGAGAATGGGTATGTGACAGGGGAGGAAGAATAAGTTTTCTCTCTAATCAATTTATGTTGCTACGTTGTTTTAATCATCTCTGTACGTTGCTACATTGTTAACTAATATAAGAATAAATATTATTTTTGGTCCCTAACAAAAAATTCGGTCCCCACTTTAGTTCATTATAAAAAAAAAGAGTCACCTGGTCCCTATGAAATTTAAAGTGAACCTATTTTAGTCTTTTTGAGATTAATGTAGGTCTTTTTTGAATTTGTGAGGGATCACGATTATAATTAAATTGATCCACTTTAAATTTTTTAGGGACCTCCTCAACACTAATTTTTGGTAAAGGACTAAAATGGGGACCACATTTTTTGTTAAGAACTTAAAATAATATTTACTCCTACTATAAATATTGAATCAAGAGACAAATAATAATCTACATGACTAAAAAAAAAATAAAAATTAAAAGTCAAAATCTCATGTCCATGTCCGTACTTGCAGACACGTGACCCAACCTGGGTCCGCCGGTGAGAGAAATGCATCACTAACCAAATGATTCATACATTACTTTCCAATTAACCAAAGTTTAGATGCTTAAGGAAAGTGACCCCCAAAAAAACCCACCATAAATGGAAAAAAGAAAGAAAAACTATGAATTTTATTATTTTAAAAAGTGAGGATGGAACAATTAATTAATCGTTGTTTATGGGCATCCCTGACAATTTTTTATTTATTTATTTTGTGTCACAATAATTTTTTTTTATGCTGAACAAGTTATGGGTAATAGCAGAAGCTACTTAAGATGGTGCTCTAGTGCTGTTGTGCAATTTGTTTTGATGATTGAATAAGAAAACATAAAGTGGGTACGGTCCTATGTCACCTGTGCCCTCATCTATCCCTTATTCGACCCACTTGTTATACGCATAGGAAACACATGATTTTTATTTCACACGCCCCTTTCCATTACCCATATCCTCTCTTCGACAATTCTTTAAACATCTTGTCCCATCCTCACTCTCACTCATTGCATGCCCTCTTTCTCTACCTATCAAATTTCATTCTCCAAAAACTTATGACTTAAAAATATATTTTTATGAAAACCCATTTGACAATTTCTGAACATTTTGATGGGTTTGGCTTATTCATGCATTACTTAATTGATGACACATTGTTTATATATAGCTGTTTTGTCAGGGTTGTTACAACTCAACCCATGCCTTTTTAAGTTATTTGTTATAATATGTTAGTTTTATAGCTCCAATCCCAAGGTTGCCTTTCTGGCTTTCTTGTTTATTTTTTATTAACACCTATGTTTGTCTAGTTCTTACCCTCTCTAGTGTTTAGAGATTATAAACTCATAATCACAATTCCTTAATGGGGATTGAACTTGTGTATAAAAAAATTCATTTGAACCTCCCGCATGCGCGTTTTAAAGCATGTTTTTGTGTGTTTGTGATTTTTGATATACATAACATGATTAACCTTAAGGCAATAAAATGAATGCAAAGTTCGAAACTGTCAAAATGGGCCTAATTTAATGATGGTAGTACACACCAAGGACAGTATTTCCAGGCATATACTTTGGATTTTCTCAAATTCTTCTTCAGTCTTCTCGAATTTTAAGGTTTTGGTCTTTATATAGTTAAAAATGTATCAACTATTATGTCTCCAACGGATGGAAGATATAAGTATACTTAAAGTAACATTGGAAGTAAAGATGAGTTATGCACTAATTAATGAAACTTACAAGAGGAGCACTTATGGCCATATACTGTTTTGATAATCGTTGAGGTGCAAGTATGTGTACTTCTCTTAAGTGATTCCATGAAGTTTTTGAAATTTTTAGGAAGGCCGCGGCTCCTCCCAATCATAATGATGATCCGCTACTACACTTAACGTGGATATGAAAAATTCTTAGGGTGCAAAAAATCAAAAATAACCGAACCAATTTGAAATCCAAACCAAACCGTTCCATAAAAACCGATTTATTAAAACAGTTCTTAAAACTAAACCGGAATTTATATTTTGGATTGATTCAGCTTTGATTTTATTAAAACAGTTTGGATATCCTAATTAACTGATCCGAAATTGATCATAATTTGTCCTCCCAAAGGTTTTGACAAAGAGTGAGTGGTAAGTGTCAAATATACTATTCTTTTAATATTAAATATAGTTCAAATAGTAATTAAAATAATTAAAAATATAGTATTAATTAAATAAAATATTAAAAGATAATAAGTTGCCAACAATTAGATAAGATCATAATCCTTTTTATTGTTTCAGTTATTTCATACTAAGAATAACAAATTACTAACATGATAGGGATGAGAAAGAAGTTGGC